TACTTAGCTTTTGCCCAGCAGAAGGTTTCGGTGTGGTGGCGTGTTTTGGTCGGCGGGTGGGGGTGGGAGGGGGGGGGGGGGGGGGGGGGGGGCAAGGCTTAAGTACTCACATGCTAGTTGAAGAGTATTGTCGACAACCGGATGATCCGATTCGAAATATGGTACGAAAAAGAACTGAACCAATTCATAGTTAATACATAGAAATATCTCAAGATTAAATGATAATATTAATTTAATTATATTCCAAGATTTAACTTTGATAGCATATACAACAATTCTAACTGTACTACACAACAGTTATTAGAACAAAGAATTGGTTTTTACTCTCATATCTTCACTTTTAACATTTAAATAAATAAAGAGATTAATAGTAAAATAAAGAAAGATAAAAATGTATCTATGCACAATTATTACATTACCTTTAATATTTTCTTTCTGAAAAGTATTACCAACAACATGCAATCGAATAAACAATAACAGTAGCAGTATTTTTAGAAGTAAGAAGAAAGTAATTTAATTCATTCATTGTTTTAGTATATATTTCTCCAAACAAAAAAACATGCAAAGGTTTAATGTATATTACAGGCAAAAGATCACAACAGTCATACCTTCATAGTAATAGACAAAGTTCACTATTTATCGTGTCTAGAAACTTTCAGATGAATTGAAAAAAAGTATTAAGTCAGATAGAGATGTACATAGTGAACTTTATTATTATCCTGTACCGTAATTGAAAAAAAAAAACTTTCTAATTCTTATTCTACTCTTACTTAGAGGTGTCTTTAGCGGAAAACATGGTGAAGGGATGATTCCTTCTAACTTTGGATAATTTTTATTTTTCTCCAGCAAAAATGAACGATTTTCTTCGTTTCTTTTGCTTACATAACCCAATGAAATTTTTATCTTATTCTTCTTTAATCCTACTCTAGTTTGAAGACTCTAAAAGGGATAACTATCAAAATAGAATCAGGTTAGAGATATGCAAGGTAAGTTTTTCTCGTACCTCTTTAGCCTGTCTGAGAGAAATTTTCTAATTTCTTACCCTATTTGGCAGGGTACAGGAATTCTGTACGTTGTTAATTTCGAAGTCTTAAAAAAGAAATCTGATGACTGGATTTTAAAAGAAGTATACTAACAAGCGAATAGGTTTTTCTACTTAATCTCTCATAATATATTATTAATGTTGATTTAAAACTTATCTTAATTTTGAATATGAGACAAATGGTTTTATGGAAAAATTTTTATAATAATAACTTTTTTTTTTAAATACTAACTTGCATTAGATCACAAAATTTGACGATACCCCAACCAACTCTTTTGATATCAGGTTCAATAAGAATAAATTGCATTTGATCAATGACAAGAAATCGACGATCTTTTCTAAATAAAACAAAAACAATACAAAAGTAGACGCCTTATTCAAGTTTGAAAATAAGTCAGATTTGCAAAAACTTGGTCGACAACATTGTAACCAAAAAGCCAAAGCTAAAAGTTTTATTTCAATCATTTCTCTATATACACAGACACGAGCATAGGCTGCGGCTCTTCTGGGAGCGCTACGGACCCTCACACTACGTTGCTGATATACAAGATCGGTTACGGCGCCGAAAGTACTTCCGCAAAAGTGACCGTTGAAGGATTCGGAAAAATCAGCTTGATACTTAAACTCGAAAGTTCAAACTCAATTTTTACTTGACGCTTTACGCAATCTACCAGACCTAGGACAGTTCCAGCTCATGACTTCAGATCAATCGAGCTAAGGAACTTTTGAAAAAGATGAGTTTACACGAACGAACTGTTCAAACAATACAGCTAAGATCAACACCTGCTTAAGAAGATCGATGATTGAGACTTACCTGTCAGGATGCATTAGTTATTGTTCTGGAAAATTGAAATGCTAGTAGCATTATCTTGGATCTAACTAGCGTCATTGGGATACTTGAAGCATCACGAGCATTGCTACTATCATTAACTGGAATGCAATAGGTATCATATGAGATGCCCAAGGTATCTAGCAGAATATAGATAGTGCTTGTGATATCTCACGTAATCTAGTAGTATCACAGGTGATGTCAATAGGGTCACTTTTAAGAGCAGCTTTTTAAGTTTCTCGGCTATTGTCATAATCAATACTGTCAATTCGAATTATAAATTTTCTGTTCAGATAAAAGCTTTGGCTTTTGGCAATTTTTATATAGAATACTTCTTATTGAAGTTATAAAATTGTAATTGAAATGAAAACTTTAGCTTTGCCTATTGGGTGAGTTCAGTGTTGGTTCGAATTTTTTTCATTTATTTTCGAAGTGATATTGTGCTTGAAGAGTCCCATTTATATTCGGGGCTCGAACTAGGCAACTCATGCAATAGAATAAAATCATTTTTTTAAAATTCTTACCTTTCTATCATATGAACAGTACAAGCAATTAAATCACTATTATCTTTGAAAAAAAGAATTCAATAATTTTTTTTTTTTTCTTCAAAAAAAAAATATTTATTTCACTTACTTAAATCGAGTTTATCATTTGGTTTGAATAAATTTTCTGGTTTTGTTAATGGTAATTCTGTTTCGATTGTTGAATTCAATTCAAGAAATAATGCTCGTATAAGAAAAAATACACGTATTGACTAAAAAAATTTAAATTATAAAAATATGATTGAAAACAAAAATTTTCTTTTGTAAAATTACTCGTCGAGCTCTTTCAATATCACCCGATGGCAAACGTTTTATAAATTCAACTCCACTCAATGGTGTTGTTGTTGGTTGAAATAACATACATGAATCTTTAAGTAAATATTCAATACGCATTGGATTTAATTGTGTTTGTCGATATTCATCTTCAAACATATCAAGTAAAAGTTCTTGTTGCTAGATAAAAGAAAAACGAAATAATATTTCAATAAAAAATATTTGAAAATTTTTACTGGATAATATTGTCTTAAATCTTCTGTTGCTTGTTTACGTGCTTGATCAATTCGTAACATATTATGATTAGATAAATAAGATATTTTATTTTCTTCATTATAAACAAGTTTTTTTAATAATGATATTGCTAAACTTAATGTTACAATACGAATATTTGAATCTTAAATAATATTATTTATTATGATAAAATTATTTTTTTTTTTTTTTGTTTTCAAAATATAATTACCTCGTATTGTTGCTGATTGAAGAATATCACAAAGTTTATCAACTAATAATACATTATAAAAACTTTTATCCTAAAATAAATATATAATTAAATTATGAATAAAAATTAAATTTCAATAAATTAACCGATGATTTTACTGTTAAACCAACGGATTCAAGTATAACACTATCAATACCTAAAAAAGACCGGAAATTATTCAAAATAAAAGAAATTAATCGATTTACATGGATTTGTTGTCATAGTTAATAGTACACTTAAAGCATAGAAACATAATTGATCATTTTCATTACATTCAAGTACTTTAATTAATGTTTCAAAATACGGTCTAAAATAAAATATTTTTATTAATTCATATGAAAGAGAAAAAAAATTTTTTTTTTTTTTTTTTTTTTTGTTTCTCGTAATCTTTACCTATTAGCTATTTGACTATCACTCAAACGCATTGGATTTTTACTACGTCGACATTTTTCATCATCAGTCCAATTTGATACATATAATGATTTTGGTTTTATATTTGATTCAATAGTTTGACGATTAGCTGATGATGCAGATCGTAGTCGTGTACGTTCACCTTCATATTGACGTCGTTCATCTTCATCATTTATATCTACGACTTTTAATGAAACTTCTAATAAATAACAAATTTATATAGTATATGATATTAAAATGAATACCTGAATCATTTGCATTATCATCACCTTCTTCATTTAGTTCATATTTAGCTAAGCATACTTCAAGAGCTGTTGGTGGTAAACTATATGAAATCTAGATAATAAGAATAGAATGATATTATTTTTTTTAAAAAGCTATTTTAGTATACTTGTTCGCCGTAACGATGTTGAATAGCTTCGACTGTTTCAATATCTGCTGAAAGTATAATATCAGCTAATTCTTCAACCACAGGTCGAAAGTGAATAACAAGAAAGACCTGCAAAAATAAAATAAATTTAATAAATACTAAGAAGTAAAACTTATTAATATATTTGATAATTTACTTCGGCAACAAGAAAGAGTATCGATAATTGATCAAGCATTATTCGTGGATCCTTCAAAGAAGAAAAGAAAAACATTATTCATAAAATTGAAAAAGACATCTTCTAATCAGAAATAAATTTCAATAGTTGAATTAATTTCTTATCAGAATAAAAAAGTCTCATTAATATGTTTGAAGGAAAAGTTTCTGGATTCTATCAAAAAATCTTGGCAAAATGGTTCATCTAATAGAAAAAAAAAGAAGAAGTTTCTGAGCTCTTTCCGATCTATCTTCAGTAAACTGTATTTATTTACGAAAGATTCCAATGTGTAAAACACTATAAATTCATATAAGTTTTCATAAACTTTTTCGGCTTGTCGCACAATTATTGTCGGTCGCTGAAAATTCGAAAACATCTTTTGTGTTTAAAAAATTTTCTATATCATTTTAAATAGAGTTCAGAAAGTTGATTTTAGTTTTTTAGAGGTCTTTCACTCAAACCTGCTAATGAAAAAATTAGAGAAAAATACATCGTTTCTCAACTTTTTGTCTACACCTTACACAACATATAAAGCTGATATTTTGTAAGATAAGAATAGGATTTGAAATAGAAATTCTTCGAAATTTCTTTGTGATATAAATCGATGAAGAAGGCTACTAGTAGTAAATTTGATATGTTTCAAAATTTTCACAATAACTCAGCAAATTACACATACTAAAGCATGTAATCAGAAGTTGAAATAATAGTCTTTCTATGAATTAAATATCTTCAGAGATTATAAAATGGCTCAAAGCAAAGTAGATATTTATGTAAAAAAATACACATGTATTGCTTTGACACTAAATTTTGTCAGCCACTCCTCCCTTATTTTTCTATCATTATAATAACGTGGAATAGATTTTGCCTTGGCTCACACAATAATCTAATGAAAGAAAAACAAAATCAAGACTTAGGATGTCGTTCAACTCTTGTTCTCCACCATATGGTCACTGAACCAATCCGACAATCTTATATACCGAGAGACATTTTGAAACCACTACGGGAACTAAATGGTCGATCATAATTCTCGAAGAATCTTAACAAAAACTATATGATATATAAACTAAAATACACCGATACATAATAATAAATCGATTAGAATACTAAAATTTTGGTTCCTATTATTAAGAAACTCAACTACAAATACTAATTTTCAGACCAACAATTTATAAGTTCTTAATCTAAATGAATTAGAATATCTTTCTTTTCTGTAAACCTACATGACAGAAAACCATTTTCTTTGTTAAAAATGAAAAAATTATTATGCTAAAAAAAAATCGTATATTTACTTTAACTCGGGAAAATTTATCACGTTTAATTAATGAAAATATATAAACTGGTATCAATAATCGATTCATTAATTGATCTTTAAGAACATTATTAAGACTATCAACATTAAGTAAAAAAATATCTTGAAGATAATGTATATGATCCAAATATTCTTCTAAACTACTGATTAATTGACCCCGATTATTAATACTAAACAAAACAAAAAAAAAAAAGAACAATAATGCACAATAAGAGGAAAAAAAAACAGGATAAGAAATAAATCTCTTTTACTCTCGATTATTTCTTATTAAATTATCGAAATCTAAAACATGATTTCGAATAAACCAAACAAAATTAGAAAAATATTCTGTTGCTGTACAATCCAATATAAAACGATGCATAGTTTGATCAGGTACTTAAAAAAAAAAAAAACATTCTTTATTTTTTTTTGTTTTTAAATATGAAAAATATAAATTTTATTATACCTTTATAAACATTAAGTGTTAATGTTCGTACAGCAATACGAACCATTGTTTCTGGATGATTAAAAAATTTAATTGCTTCAACATATAATGGAAATTCATTATTTCTCTATATAAAAAAAAAAAATTCTAATAAAAATAAAATCATTTTGTTTTTTTAAAAAACATACTTCATTATAAAAGAAATTAATTGAATGTTTATTTAATTTTAATGAAAGTGTTTTAAGAAATGATATATAATATGCAGTTATTTCTTCATCACTAAAATCAAATTTATGTAAAATAATATTATTTACATAATTGTTTGATAGTAAGTAATCTATAGAACAAAACAAAAACAAAAAACAGAAAAATAAATTATTTTTTGAAATCTAATATCTAATTTAAGAATAAAATTTACTTACATAATGATGTTTCATTACGAATATTTTCAAAAAGTATATTAAGTGTTTGTAAAATTTGTATACATATAAAACGTCCATTTTTTTGACGCATATAATCAAGAAAATAAGCTAACAATCCTTGTTCAAGATAATAACTAAAAAAAAAAGAAAGAATTCGGTATAATATGTTATATGATTGAGGGTATCTCTATCCCTATAGTGTGTATTTTTCGCATGCCAAGCGGACATGTGACTTTCTTGCTCAGAAATGTTGATGAAATATTTTTCGAAAACTGTTGTAGAGATTAGAAATAGTAGAGAGAAGAATATTTTGACAAAATTTGAAAAAGTTTGGAGATTGGATTGTTCATTTTATCGGACAATATTAGAAAAAAATGATTTTTACCCTTGTATAGTGGCCTACTTAGAGATTTAGAAAATGTATTTGATTTGTCTGTCGAACAGTTTTATTTTGTTAGATATGAACTTTTTTTTTTCGTAACATCACTATTTTTAGTATCTTTTAATGTTATAACAAAATTATTATTACAATCAGATAGAATATATTTTTCTATATTAAAATCTTGAAAAACTCGATTTTCATCTTTAGTCAAATGTCCGTCAACTGGACATAAGGTATAATACTCTCAAGTGCAATTAGAAACGTCATTCGATCCTAAATAGCTTATTGGTATAGAGTTTGGTATAGTAAATACTTGGAAGCATCCTTCAGAGGTGAAATCAACCGTTTTCGACTTTCCTATCCGGATTTATAAGGGTTTTGAAAGTGAAAATCTCGGTTTTAGCTCCGAACTTTTACGTATTGCTCTCATAAAAAAAAAAACATATTTTCAAAAACACCTCTGGAGATATCTCCAAAAACATTATCAACCAGATCGAATAAAATTTGATGGGAGTCTTAATGTACAAAAATGGAGTCCTGTGAAAAAGTAGGATTTTCCTCGAACATGTTTGTCTTTGCATGTCAGGTACTTTATCTATGGTAAAAATTTCAATCCAATCGATTGTAATTCTTTGAAAGTGTAATAAGATATATTAATATCTATGATCTTTGGACTAATTTGAATGCTAAATATTCAATTGAAAAAGTTTATGGTGAATATCAATATTCATTGATTAAAACAAGAAAAGCACAATTTCTTTGTTTTTTTTTTAATCATTTTCACATTATTTTTTGATCGGTTTAAATTTGCAGAATTTGTGAATAGAAACGTATGCAATGAAATCATTCATATATTTTCTTCTCTTCTATGCTATAGGATCAACATTGATATTATTCTTTATTTTAAATCTGAATGATCAATTCTTCTATATATAGATGTATTGTTTTGAATTGATCTTAATGATATCAATTACTGGTATTATTTTTCTTTACTTAGCTGTCAATATTAGTTTTAGTTTACAGAAATTACAAAGATGATATACAACGAAAAAAAACCTATGTATGAAATATTAAATGAGATTAAACAAGCGTCAACTTCTATTTTCAATTATAGAATGTTTATTTTTATTAATCTGAGACATATTCTCTATTTTGTTAAATTATTAATCAAGCAATGATTAAAGCATTATATTGAAATAACCTACTCAAATACAGAACTATCATGTTGATCACCCCATATAAGAATTTCCGAAATACTTCGAAGTGTTTCAGTCAGTAAATCACGATTAGCATCAGATATAGTTGCATTTCGTTGCAAGACACCATATAAATACCTAAATAAAGAAAAAAAATCATTAATATATTAACTTGTTTATTTATAAATATCTTACTTTAGATTTTCAAGCGAATGAGGATTTCTTGGTTGGCTTGCACCAAATAAAGAATTTCTGACTTTTGTAAATATACTCATTTGAAAGAAATGCGATTAACATAAAATCTACAAGTGTTTGGACAACAAAATCCGAATGTTCGTCTTGTTTTATTTTTGTTACGAAATTTTATTCTTCTTTTAATCCAAAAAAAAAAAAAAAACAACAATAAACATAATTTTTTCTATCCGTCGATCGAATCTTGTTTTATTAAAAGAAACATGAAAAATACTGTTTCTCAAAACAACGGATTTTCCTTTTTTTGTTTTGTTTTGTTTTATATAATGATGATCAAATAAAACTTTATTCTTTAGCCATCATCTTTTGTCGTTTTAGTTTCTTTTTCGATTCTTTCTTTTTTTTTTCTGGTTCATCATCGATAGCACCACCAGTACGTGTTAAAATATTTTCTTTTTCACTTAATATTAATTCAATATGGCACGGTGATGATTGATATGGATTTATACGACCATGTGCACGATATGTACGACGACGAATTTTTGGTGCACGATTTACTTGAATATGATCAATAACAAGATGATCAGCATCAAGACCTTTGACATCAGCATTTGATTCAGCATTTTTTAATAATTGTAAAAGTATTTCAGCAGATTTTTTTGGCCAACGTCCTTGTGATACTTTAAATACTTTTGCTTGTGATTTACGACCAACACCACCATTATATCGTTTAAATGGAACAATTTCCTTTTTATTAATAACATTTTTTAAATAACGTGTTGCACGTCGTAAACTCATACGTTTAAGTGCATTAGCTGTTTCACGTGTATTTTTAAAGTGAATACGTAAATAACCACCACGAGTTTTGCATGATTTAGCTGGATTTTCGACAGTACCTATTTCATAGTAGATAATTGAATAAAAAAATTTTCAAAATTAACTTAATAAAATAATTTAACGTACGTGCATATCGAACCATGATGTTATTTTCTTGTTCGTTTAATTTATGATCAAGAGGATAGAGAACAAGATCTAAAATTTAAGAAAAATATATATTTATCACATCAGAGAACTATCTATAAAAAAAAGAAAAAAAAAGAAATGTTTGTTTGCTAGTACTTTACTGAATAGAAGTAAACAAGATGAAATGCTGATAACCAATCATAATGTTGATGTACTGTACTATTACGATTAAATAAGAAAAAAGTAACAATATAGAAAAAAAAACAGTTATTTTCTTGAAATGAAGCTGAGTAAATGTTTAATAAATATTTTAATCATTATTTTAAAAATTCAAAGATAGATGTCACTGCTATACATTTGATTTCAATCAATTTACTAAATGAAGTCATGTTCAGATTTCCGATAAGAAAAAGAAATACTCGAAATTACCAAAACATGAGAAGATAGTACGTAACCAATTTCAAAAAATTGATCAAGACGAACTAGTATACATCACCAATAAGAAAAAGCATGAAAATACCGGTCAATACATTTTCCTTAGGTGTTAACAGCGTTCTGAACAGTAAGGGTGCTTAACACAAACAAACAGTACATAAATTTTGTTACGTCTAATGTGTATCTCGTTTTATATTTTGCTCACAAAAGCAGCATGTACGCAGTAAACTTCATTTTCTTATTGAAAAGTCAGTTTGGTTTGTAGCGATAATTGAAAGATTTTCTCTTGACCCAGTTCGATGTCTTGTATTCTAAAAGTAACAGTCAATTATAGCTTGATTCTAATACAATCATCATCATCATCATTTTCTGAGAAACATGCAAGAATGTAAGTGGCAGAATAAAAATATATCTTGCATCTTCAGACCGACTGTTAGACTTAGACGACCAGACTTCGTTAAAACTAGAAATATGGTTTAGCTACAAATCCGATAAAGCTGTAATCGATAACGCTTATTGAGTAGTCTGATAGAAAGTTCCTAGTCAGCTGGTACAGCAGCGATCAGTAGACGTGGCCTTTTCTTCGCACATCATGCAGTTTCTTCACAGCCGAAGACTATTAATATCTGAAAACCTGTATTGAACCAAAATTAATGAAATTTTTTAATATCAGATATACTCTAGTCCAATATCATTCTGTGCACATGCATATTTTATTCATCTATCAAACATTTTAAAGTGTACTTTTAACTTTAGTTGAGTAATAATACCATAGATATGATGTAGTTTATAATAATTTTATATCGAAACAGTAATGGTAAGATATTTTTAGGTACATCTAGTAGCACAATATAAGCTTATATCGTCGACTAAATGTCTGCTATTCAATGATTTTTACAATAAAAATCTCACATATAAATATTATTATCTTATTCTTTTTTTTTGTTTTCTTATCTTGTTGATTTTGTCTAGCTACTGTAGTTCAGTTAGAGGGTAGGTGAAAATAAAGGAGCACTTACCTACACCCTCACGATTAGAAGAATATTCTAATCCATTATAATTTTGATTTTGTTGCACAATAATCGGACTATTGATTTCGACTAAGTTCAAAGAGAATTAAAATTTTTTTTAATCTATTCTAATCACTAATATTTTTTTACTGAGAAAATAGCTCAATCGAAACGTCGCTAAGCCATCTATTGAATGAAGATTGATATGATGAAAATAAAATGATCAGTCGCCAAGTTTCGAACTCATTTTGTTTTGGTTTAGGAAATAAATTTATGTTGATATTAACCTGATTCAGCATCAGGGTTGCCAGATCAAAATCTTAGAAATCGGAATTTTTTTGCTTGAATTCGGAAAAAAATTGGGAAAGTCGTTTCTAAGCTTCTTGATGCTTAAATATTTTTTTTTTCTAATAGAGAAGCCTTCTGAGTTTGATTATTCTTTCTGTAGATATATTTCATCAATGTGTTAATTATAACACCGTTAGGATTGTGACATTTCATCGATTAATTTGAATGTGTAATAAGGGGCAAGTACATTATAAGCATTAGTTCTTGATTTTGTTCTTGCACATGCTAAATTTTTAGCAGTGCTGGAATATGGTGTAAATAAATCTTTTATTAGATTTATTGTACACTGTTGAGAAATATAGCTATGTGCATGCTTTACTCCATGATAAACAAATGTGCCCTCTATAGCTGAAACTTTTTGTGGTTCACCAAATGAAGTATGGGTTATTAATATATTATTTCCAAATGTTTTCATATGTGTTTTATGAATTTCAATATTCATATGCTTTCTTTAAGGTGATTTTGTTTGAGGAATG